GCGTGTGTTATATTTGACTTTTAAGATTGATTTTTAGATTTTTTAAGCTCTGAAACATCTTTTTTGTAGCTGTGTATTTTAAATCTCTGTGTAAGCGTGAGCATTGTCCTTAGTATAAGTTTGCACAACACAAATATTTCTTGAGTAACTAAGCTGATATTATTTTGTATTTTATAAGTTAAAATATCCTGAAAACATATTTCCACAGTTATCTAGCCAAACACAGTTTGAGTTCAGCATTAAAATTTAAAAAAAAAAAGTTTAAAAATGCCTAGTGCACTTTTCTAGTAATTTTAGTGGGTTTTAATTTGAGAAAAGTGAAATCCACACTCTTTTATCATGCTTAAGCCTTTAGAAGTTGAAAATATTCCTAAGGCTTGTCTTTAGCCAAATGGAGTCATGGTATTCATATAAAGAAGATCTGAAAGAACTCCACCCTCCATGGTATCAACTCTTTTCTGAAAGACACTTCTATTGCAGGCCCTGGAAACAATGGCTGTGCTGTGATAGGAAAGATAACTTTTTCTATAGAAAAATAATTAAAAACAAAACAAAAACCTCTGAAGCCCTGCTGGTTTTCATTGACTGTCTTCTTTCATTTCTCATCTGTTTTTAGTTTACTTAGACTATAAACTTCTCAGAGGAGCACTTATTCCCTTTTTCTTTGTAAAAATTAACGTGTCTTTGTTCCTGTTAGAGCTATGAGCTGTATTAGGGAAGGCCTCTATTACTGTTACCTTGTGTACTTTTTCAACATGTTTCTGATGTTGCTAACATGTGCTTTGCAAAAGTGCCATCCTTAAGCTTTGGTAAGGGTTTGGTTGATATTCTTGTGTTCAAATAACATGGCAATTCATCTGCAATATTTGGAAAAGTTGTTTTTATTGTTTGAGAAAACATAAGCCAAGGGCAGTATCTGATGCCTACTGTCAATTTTCCTGCAAATATCCACTTCGGGATACATATTTAAAACTCCTGAGATTTGACTAAACACCTATAGCACTGAATACAGTGTTCATTCTTTGGAACAGCAACTTTGTGGAGGATTTGCTGAGCTTTAGCAACTTTTTTAGCCTTTAAAAAAACGAGTTTTCAGTGATGCAAATTCCTTCTGTTGACACTCTTGGCCTGTCTTGAGTGACATGTTTCATTTTGACATTGATGGCTGATGGCAGCCAGATCGGAAAAGGTCACTTGTACTTTGTGAGCTGGCTTGTCTTCATTAAGCCATGTTGAAATTTATTTCAGATGTTAAATAGATGCAATTATTATAATTGACCAAGGCACGTGTGGTTTTTTTGGTTTGGTTTTTTTATTAGCTATTCTTCGAAATCCTTATCAGCTTGACAGGCAAGTGTATAAAACCAGGGAAGTGTGTTCATTGCTCTTCGGATGAAAGGGAAAGACTCTGGGTTTAGAGTCAGGCTGATATGAGAACTCCTCCAAGATGACTGGTAATTTGGCATAGATGGTTCGGGGAGGGGGAGGGCTATACATTTCTCACCTTTCAGTTCATCTGCACTATCAGAGCCCAGAGCAGTTTCATTTTCAGAGGAGCTCCCAAACATTCAGTTGCTGTGATGTGATCCAGTGACAATGGACGCTGAAAGCCGAAGTGTGTGAGTTACTAAGCAGAGGTATAAGTTGCAGCTTGGAAGTTTTGTGACTCAAGTCAGTCCTAGATAAGGTGTTTCTTGATGGAGGAGGTGAGGAAGAACGTTATGTGCAATGGATTACAAAATCTTAGTATTACAGAGTACAGATCTTTCTGCAACAAGTCTCATGTTGCAAAATCAGAAATTGCTGAGGCTCTGCCTAAGACCTAATTTAAGGTCTCTTGGTCTGTTCACATTAAGTCAAAATAAACGATATAATTTTTACTTCTATTGTAAGATCAACGCAACACTGGGAATACTTTGTAACTTTTGATGATCCACAGTGATTAAAGCTTTGACTGTCTAACTCTCAATAAAAAATAATGCCAGAAATGCTACTTGTTTAGTATTCCAAATTTAACTTGCAAGGCATGGAGTTAGGCTAATTAAACTAAGGTAGGTGGGTAGTGAGAGACGAACCACAGTTCTTTTAGTGGTAAGGAGTAAATTCTTTAAACAGAGAATTTTTTTTTTTGCCCAGAAGTAGAATTTATCAGCTATTAACCTTTAAAACTTTCACTCTCCTTGTCCTTCTAACCACGTCAGTTCTGCAGAAGGTCTGTTAAGGAATATGCTGCTGATTTCTGTTCCTTTCTTCCCAAATTGTTTTTGTGGGGGAGGCTTTCTGGATTTGAGTGCCATCTTGTGGAGCATTGTGAACACCTAAGGAAAGGTAACACCCCTTTCACTAGTAACCTATAAGGGTTTGCTTGGTGTAGAGATGTACCAAGTTGCAATTACCCTGGAAAAATATTCCTTGTTTGGCAATCTGCATTTTTTTCCCTCTGTGCTTAGTGGAAAAGATTGCTACTTTTTGCCTCAAATTTTCGTCAACTCATTTTAATTACTTTGATATGTGGCACGTGGAATGAACCCTGAAAATTTGACAGACTGTGGCAGCCTGCTAGCTGTGTTAATATACTACACCTGTCTTCTCTCAGAAGATATGAATTCTAATTAATGGTGGTGTATATTGAATTAAAGAAAAAGTTGTGAGGAAAGTACAGGTAAACTTATGTTTACTTCAAAATTGTTTTGCTGCCTTCGCTATAAAATTGGTATCAGTGGCAAAGCTTAAATCTTCTGGTTTAATTGACAACAAAAAATTTTCAGTGATGAATCCAAGCGGTGAAATTTTTCATCTAAATAAACTTGTGAATAAAATGGTGCCCTGCCATCTAAAATATCAAACCATTTTTTGCATTGGAAGCAGATTGGAAGATTATTTTGCCTTGTGTATACTGTGTGAGCATGGGACACAAGATAGAGCAGTAATGCTTTCCACTGACTAAGTTCTGCTTCTGTGACTTTGAGGCTATTTCTTTATATAACAGGTCTAAAGTCAAAAGGAAGGTTTTGAACCTTTTTAGTCAAGAAGATTGACCCTTGCAATTATAGCTTATGTGAGCATGTGTGTGTAGGCATACCTGTACACAAAAGCTCCCAGTGGCTTAAAGGGTGAATAAAGGAGTAAAAAGTAGTTGCAGCTAAAGTTTTGGTACAGAAATGTCCTGGATTTATAAAAAGAGGGGCTCTTTTTATTAAGAGCTCATTTACAATAAATTAATAAAATTAGCTAACACACCGTACATTTAAAAGAAAAATAAAATATTAGAAGAGGGAAACCTGTGTTCTGTCCCCTAAAGGAGGTTGCAAGATCGCGGGCAAGCTGACGCAACTTTGTGGACCATTAGTATCAAAGGTTACTAATATAACTAACAAAACTCATGTGGACAGCTGATCTTTGTTGCTGATTGAGTCAAAAGTTAATGAAGCAGATTAATACAGTCTCTGCGTGCGAGCTTAGGAGAGCAGAATGAAAGCAAAAGATTTACTGATGTCCAATGCACTAAATAAATGTCAATCTAGAAAGAGAAAACTCAGAAGATGTTGCTAAAACCAAATGTGTCATGGGAAAATGGGCATTGCCAGATAATGTTGGTTATTACCTTAATGCTTGTCAGTGACAGACTAACAGTCGTCTCATAAAAAAAAGAAAAAAAAGAGACACGGGAGCTGGATTAATCACTTAAACACTTCAAATACTTAAATTCTTAATTCTTATTTTGATCTGCTTGCTTTAACCAACATGAATTTCTAATAGAGCATAACTTACTCCCAGTTCAAGCACATGCTTAATGATAGATCCCTTCAGTTTTCATAGCAAGTGGATGTCATAACTATTGACTTTAAACACGGTTTAGTGGTATCTCAGTGAAGATAACCAAAGAGAAAAAGGGCCTTTAAGTGCCGCCCTTGCCCGGGCAATGCTGACACGTCCACCTGTGTTTTTTCAATTGACACTTTCTGCGCCTTCTGCTGGACAAGTGCCAGACTGGAACATTGTGTTTTCTCCATGAAAGAGCTATTAGTCTCAGAAGAACAAGAACATACATAGTTCTCACCTATAAAAAACAAAGGCAGAAAAGTATCCAGGACTGCAGAATATGAACTGCCAAGTGGGGTATTGGCATTTTATTTGTGCTCTGTAACTATGAAAAAAAAGGACAAAAAGGGTTATCTTTGTATTTGTTTAATTTGTGAATGCATGTTGTGCAAACAGGTTAATTCATCAGAGAATAATTAGAACCTGTCAAGAAGTCATGAAGGCTGAAACCTTTTGAAACAAAACAGACATCTGACTTTCATTTCTTGTATGTTGTTTTCATTTTTTGTCAGTATAGAAGACAAATTAAGTGAGTGCTGTTGACGTACTTGAAGCTGATAGTATCTTCAGATCGTGTTGCTGACGTTCTTTTGCGGGTTTGGTGGGTTTTGTGAGGTTATTCAGAACACAGAGCTTAGTAACCATGTTCAAGCAAAACCTAACGAAACCTCCTGCAAGAAAATGCTTTTGAAATTACCAGTTTTTAACCTGAGGTACTGGGGAGCTTTTTGCCTTTTTAAAAAGTGAATGATTTGATGTAATACTTTCTGCACGGTATTTACAAAAATTGCTACTGTTCGAATGGTTCTGGAAAGAAAAAATATATTGCAGGTTTTAGGCTAGATTTGATTTTGTAGACTGAGGTGAATAGATGTAGGAAAGTACTGTCATCACCTAATTTAGTGTACATGTTAAAAGATTTAGAAACAATCCAGAAATATTAAAATAAGGCCATATAATTACTCTGTCATCAAGATATCTCTGTTGCATGCAATTTCTTCAGACTCTTCTATAAGGCTTTTGCTGGGTGACATTAGCTAAGAAAATGGCCCAAGTTACATACAAAAACATGAAGGGAGAAACATTTTTCATTACATCACATAATCAAGTTGTGTCATTGCTATTTTTCAATATTAGCATATCACCTATTACTCTTTTTTTTTTTTTTATCTTTGCAGATGATACTTTGGGATTGGGATTTGAAGCAATGGTACAAGCCCTATTACCAGGTCAGTATATTATGCATTTAATTAATAATATGGCATTGTTTTTTTTTCAATTTATTTTTTAAAATTTACAATGAATAAGAGACTTATTTAAAACAGAGAATACCGTGAAAAGTTTTGACATGTTAATAATTTGCAACATTTCCCTCTATTCCAGAATGCTGGCAGTGGAAATGGAGTTGATCTTTCAGTGCTAAATGAGGCTCGGAACATGCTGACAGACCTCCTGGCTGATCCATCTCTTCCACCACATGTGATTTCTTCCCTTCGAAGCATTAATAGTCTGATTGGTGCTTTCTCAGGCACATGCAGGCCAAAGGCTAGTCCATTCACACCATTTCCTGGTTTCTTCCCCTGTCCTGAAATAGAGGATCCTGCTGAAAAAGATCGAAAGCTGCTCAAGGTCAAATGATTTTAATTTTTATTCATGTGTGTGTTGCAATTAAAAAAAAAAAAAAGGGAAAATTCATCAGGAAAGAATGCTCCTGTTTGCATAGTAGTTTCTTTACAGAGTACCTGTGGTACCTTAAGGTCAAAAGAGAGCAGCTGTGAAAACACATTGAATGTAATGTGACAGGTACCAAAATGCAAATTCAAGTGGTTGCTGGACAGAGATAAAAAAAGCACTGGTGTGCACCCTGAACACATAATTCCTCAAAATAACAGCAAATACAAACTGAAGATGTTATATTCTCATGATAAGGAACAAACAGGGCTGTTCTTGATTCTCCCAGATTCTTTACCTGACAATTACTGTCACTGCAGCTTTTTCACTGACCTTTTTACCCCAAGAAATTTACTCTCATGGACAGCAAACTAGCCATTAGACAGAAGCAAATCAGCCATGTAAAAGGAAAAACATTGCTTCTTTCTGTGCAGCAAATCACATTATGAGACCAGTGTTTAAATGTGCTGTCACTTCTCCATTATCTAGGGTAAATAAGTGAAAGCAAGAATGTAGTTACTATACGATGTGTTAAAGAATGTGGTGGAAAAACGTTAAAATATAGGAACTCAGCTGCAGGGCACCAGAGCTAATAATTCTAGGGTAGCCCTGTATTGGCAGCTTGAGGCTGTTTATTGTGGAGGCTGGTCTGGGACATCCTTGCCCTGGATTTATATTTCCAGGAAGTGGGCAGCTGGGCCCAAATTGATCAATTTGTTGGCTTAGTACTTTGGAACCAGACAAACTGCCTTGAGCCAGATTCAGCCTGCCTGTGAAATGTCTGTTGGGATCCATATTTCTGGGAGGGGAAAACTCACTGTCTACGGGTTGTTCTTTGGAAGATCCTGCAGAACCATTGCAGTAAGAAATTCCTTGGAATGTCACATGGATATCTGCAGAAATCAGCTGGGTAGGGATCAAAGTCATTCATCATGTTTTTTCTCGTGGATTTCTTTAAAAACTACTAAGGATTAGTATTAGTAAGTATTAGTATTAGATCTTTTAATTTTTTATTATTAATTTTTATTTTTTTATTATATGTTTTAATTTTTAAGATTTCTATGCAGCTAGTCAGAATTGTTTGAAATGAAAACTAGTCCTTGCTGAAGAGTGGTTATGAAGAGTATGTGAAATTGGAAGACTCTGGTTTTTCACAGCTACTTTCTTTTTCTCCTTCCTAAAAGTAACTTTTCCTTTAAGTTTGGGGAGGTTTCTGTACAGAAATTTACATGATGGATAAAGCAGTGCTTACCACTGTTTTAATGATTGTTTGACTTAAGGGTAAGCCAAAAGATCTCCCCCTATGTATATTACTGTAAGAACAAGATTTCTCTTTCTTTCAAAAACCAAGTAAGTGAGCACAAACTCCAGATTATGACACACCAAAGAAAATAATGAGAGAGTATTTCTTCGAAATGGTACCTTTCAGATTATGTTGAGAGGTTCCCATTCTCTTTTTCCAATTTGGAATATAGAAGGTCTCTTCCAGATTTCAAATGAGTTGTTTTTTTGCTGAGGATTATGTACATTTTTATTTCTCTTCCCTGATTGGCTTCCAAAGTGCATTCAGTTATAATAACAACCCTACTGAAGTTGTGGATGCCCCCTCCCTGGGAGTGTTCAAAGCCAGGCTGGATGGGGCTCTGAGCACCCTGGTCTAGTGAAAGACGTCTCTGTCCATGGGGATTGGAACTAAATGATCTTCAAGGTCCCTTCCGAATCAAAGTCATTCTATGATTCTATGGTTCTTGTTGTTGCTGGTAACCAAAAGTCCTTTCATAATAACTTTGATTTCTAGTATGGTGTAAGTTTTATTTCCAGAGCAACTTTTTCCCTTTGTATAGTGATTACCAGTGACTTTCCTAGGATAGAGGGATCTGGAATTCCTTAGTCCTTTGCTACCCGTGTTTTGTTTATTCTGTGCTTCTGTAACTAGTAGGGGAAGTTCTGGATGTTTGCCATATCCCCAGTGTTCCTTCATTCTCAGAGTAGCCAGGAAGAGGAAAAAGTAAGCACAGGTGCTGTGGCCTTCTTTCCATATTGTGCTAACATGTGCACTTGGGAGTGGACCTTTCTCCTCCAGTGTTGGGGATTTTCATCTGTGCTCTCCAAATAGCATAGAGCACACAGGTTGGATTGTGGTCCACTGGCAGAGAGATCCATTCCAACCTGAGAGCACTTTCCTGTGTGATGGCAAGCTCCTCTGGTTCCCTTTCTGGTGGGGCTGGTTAAGCACTGCTGCAGGTTTCTGTGGATGATGTGGTGGTCCTATTCTGCCTGTGCATTTCCACCTTTCTGGCTCTGACTGCACTTTTGCAGCAAAGCAAACAGAGTCAAGGTATATCCTGTATCAAGGACTCAGAGCAGTCTGATTTTTCAGGGTAAGAAACTGTACTACTTTGTTTTGACACGGTTTCACCTTTTTTTTTTAATTTAAATATGCAATAACTTTGTGAGTCACATATGATCTCTGATGAAGGTTAAAATTGCAAAGTCATTATTTCTGACAGACTTCGAAGTGTTTCTATGCAAGGTTCACCTATCCTCACACAAACCTGCTGACCTTGCTCAACACTGCAAATATTGCCTTGGATTTTTGTTTTAAACAATTTTTTCCTGACATATTTTTTACTATGCAGGATCTAATTACACACATCATTATTATGCAGAAGAATCTCTCCTCTGCCCATCCTTCTCTCCCCTGCCCGTCCTTCCCTCCCTCTGCTTAATGGTTAGATCTAGGCATGAGTTATCAAGTGGATTGTAGACTTAATGCAGTGAGATATATACATATATTTTTAAATTTTTTTTTTAACATAGTGTATAGGCTCTCTGTGCAATGGATGCAGGCATGCCATTCCTCATTTCCAATTTCAGTTCAGAGATCCTATCCTTTCTATTAGTTAGGTTCTACTAGTTGCTATTTAAACACAGATATACTTTTCAGGGGTATTTCAGTAAGGCAGAGGTAATAAGTCCTGAGCTATTTCCACACAGGACTGTTTGAGTGCCACTGCCCCTCTTTGCAGAGGGCTTTTTGTTCAAGTAAAATGGTGATGCCCAGTGTTTGAGCTGCAGCGTGGCTAAACTAATGCAGCTTCCAGGCTGGGAGTGGTGAGGTGCCTTGGAACCTTCCCGAATGCTATGAGACTGCTATGGAAGTAGAGAGGGATCCTTGATGAATCAGAACTGACCCTGTGAATTCTACATCACCCTTTCCACAAGTTCCACGGTACTTGCACTATTCAATATTCAGCATCTGAGTTATCAAAATCTCAGACTACCCTGAGAGCTGGAGAGCTTTGTGGTTGTAGAAAAAGAATCCGTAATCCTACAGCAAATTACTATCACTACCTATATTGATTTGGGGAAAGAAAAAAGAGATATGAAAAATAATTATTCTTAATAAAATAATTAGATGGCCTCTTTTCTATTTTCTTAAGCAGTAAGAGTGAATGTAAGATACCATATTTACTGTTTCACTGTAAAAAGTAACAATAAATAGCCCTTACAAACCGTAAATAAAATTTTAACATCTGTTTTTAGTTACATAGATTTTAACTGTGGTTAAATTACTCAACAGGGATTAAATAGCAGGAGTAGCCTGCCAACCCCACAGCTGAGACGAACTTCAGGAGTTTCTGGTGTGTCACCTATAGAATCAGCATCTTCGAGATGGGAACGAAGTAACAGCAAGAGATCTCATCAGGAATATAGCACATCAAGGTAGGCACTGAATGACATTTTAAGGGCAGTAATAATGTTGGAACTTGGCAGCAGAAGTATTTGGTGTAAAATCTTGTTAATTAAGGCTCCAAATTCTGCCAGTATAAACTTGAAAAGTTAATTATATACTGCGCTTTGTAGCTCTGATCTTGAGTAGAAATCAGGTCATTCTGAGGTTAAATGGCGTGCTCTGTCATTACAAATAGGCCTGCATAACAGTTTAAGTAGGAAACAAAAAAAAAAAGCCGAACATACATGATTGCAAAACAAACTGGTTTAGTCTCTAAACTTCTACTGACTTCCTCCTTCTTTTTATTTAAAATATGTGTCACTCTCCAACTTCCATATACCCGTATATAATTAAAAAGGTGATACAACTTTCTTGTGTTTCGTAGTCACTGTTCTGTGTGTTGCAACATTTATTATTCCTGCAGCCATCAAGCAAGTGGTAAGGTAAATTAAGGTAGTCATCTCTTCTCTGCTTGTCAGTTAATACAGTGTAAATAAAATTTTATTTTCAGAATTAAGATAACATTTTGAATTAGGATTAAAATAAATGCTTTTTTTCTTTTTGTTTAATACTGTATATGAGTGAAAATTCACACATTTTATTTAAATGTGTAAATGGGTGTGCCTTTGCTCCTGAAATCTGTAAAAATACGTGTAGTTTTGCTTTTTTTGTTTGGTTGTTTTTTAGTTTGTTTGGGTTTTTTTCTTTGGTCATAAGTAAAGTATAATAGATGCATTTTTAAAAAAGAAAACATAAGTTATGCTGATAATTGATAATTATTAATGGTGGATGAAAGTTTAGATACATGCATCCAAGAGTATTATATTTAATTTTGAAGTGAACCATTTAAATAATTTGGCCTTTGCAATGTCTTTTTCCGCTTTAATAAAATATGCTTAAGCCCACCTGATTCAAAGTAGCAATATGGAAAACACCCTCACCTAGAAGACATGTTCACTGTTTTGTGGCTGGTGTCCTGCCCTCCAGAGTTCTTGCCAGCACTTGCTCTGTCCCTGTCTCTGCACCTTCCAACAATTGTTCTTACAGGTTCCCTTTAACTTCTAACACATAATCATCTCCCAAACCCCCATGGGTGTTTACTTTCTTGATAAGGTTAGATGAAATAGATGCATTGGCATAGCTGTTCCTGCTGCCAAGAGGCAGTCCTGCCATTCCTGCATTCCTGGAGCACTTTGTGCCATTGACTCAGATGCTTAAATTGTCAGAAAAATAACAGCTGACTGCTTTGAACTGAATTCTTGCTGAATTGAAAAAGATATTACATAGTGGTACTATAAATTGATATTGCTGCAAAATTTGATTTAAAGTTTCCCAATTTTTTCTACCCATCCAGACAGTACTTAAAAGCAAATCTTGATATCTACTGTTTTATTTGTATGTAAATTCTTGATTTGGTTTCTCATTCAAACACTAGCTCAAGATGAACTAACCTTCCCTAATATGTAGTCTTCCTACACTAAATACTCTTGCAGCATTTTTATGTGCTTTAAAGTAATACATGTGAGCTGTGATAGCTATACAATGTACAAACAGTGAAATGATCAATCTATCCTAGTTTTCAACCCAAACATTTCTGAAATCTGACCAACGTGTCAAGCATCAGATTTGTTAAGGTTGGAAGGGACCTCTGGAGATCATCCAGTCCAACCCCGCTGCCAAGGTAGGCTCACCTAGAGCAGGTGACACAGGAACGTGTCCAGATGGTTTTGGAATGTTTACAGGGAGGGAGACTCCAAAACCTCCCTGGGCAGCCTGTTCCAGTGCTCTGCCACTCTGAATGTAAAGAAGTTCTTCTTTATGTTGAGGTGGAACTTCTTGTGTTTTAGTTTATGGCCATTGCTCCTCATCCTGTCCCTGGGCACCACTGAAAAGAGTCTGGCACCATCCTCTTGGCACCCACCTTTGAGATATTTATGTCTGTTGATGAGAAGCCCTCTCAGTCTTCTCTTCTCCACATAAGAGAGGTGTTCCAGACCCCTCATCATCTTTGTGACCCTCTGCTGGACCCTCTCCAGTAGTTGGATATATTCAGAAATAAATCTATGTTTATTCTTTAACTCATTTTTTGTATTCATATATTTAAACAAATGATGGGAGATTAAGAATTTTTTCTGTGTTTGACTTTTGTTTGCAATCTGATTAAGCAAGATTAAATCTGCTTCAGTAAACACTGTTTTCCCCCACTGAAGAGAAAGAGTTAGTTTTACATTAAATGTTCTCACTTTGAGTACACATATACAGTTATTTTTAATTGCATATTACATTTTTGTTTGCTAAAGGAATAAATTTGAATTTTGGGGTGAAATTTCATGCCTAGAACAGCAGATGGCAGGATTCAACTATTGAGTTGAACGATTCAGCTCCTGAAGCACAATCTGACTTGATGTCAAAACCAGCTTTAGTTCTAAGTTTGTAATAAATCAAATAATTAAGCATTCAAAATTCATTTGAAAATCATTGTAGCTGTGCAAGGTTTTGATGGTATTTCCAAAGTAATCAATCCTCTAAATGTTCTCAGATCTGTTAGAAAATAGCCTGCTTTGTTCAAATGTTTGAGAAAAGTAGCATGTTAGAAGTAAAACCTATTGCACTTGGTCTGAGTATATTTATCGTGTCATTTTAGGACTGTATAAAATTGTCTGTTGCTTTCACCCAGTACCCAGTAGTTTTTATTCCCTATAATTGACATATATTGTCTAGCTGATGTTTCTAATACTCTGTCTTTCTTGAATGGTAGCGGATCTGTGACAGGACAAAATAGTTATTTTTAAAGCATTTTATTTAATAAAAATGGAAGAAAAACTAGGAAAGTAAAAAAATAATTCTTACTGTTTTCTTTTCAGCCAAGGATCTCATTCAAGTGGGTCTTTTGGTGCAAACTTGCTGACAATACCAAAGCAAAGATCATCTTCTATGACATTGACTCATTATATGGGTCCCAGACGAGCAGGTAAGATCATGCAATTTATGCAGCTTAGTGACATGGCACAAGACAGTAGTTAGTACATCATGTATTACAGCTGGGTTTTTTTTCATGTAAAGGTAGTCCTAAAATAATATCAGCGTGTTCATGTTGTTTAAATCTAGTCTTTGTAAACAGACGTTTTTACTGTGACCTGAACCCCACGTAATGTTTGTTTTGGAAGGTGCTTCGCCTGGTCTGAGTCCTGTGGGTTCACCCAGTCATGGATCTGTCTCCAGCGGGGCTTTCAGCAACTGGTCACCTGTAGAATTTCCTGATACTGCTGATTTCCTTACAAAACCAAGCATTAATATACATAAGCCTCCAGGATACACATCTAGCTCTCCAGATTTTCAGCAGCCAGTTAAAACACCTGTAGGTTATATGTGTAGCAGGTACTGTAAACTCTGTTACATACTTGGTAACTTCATGTGTGTTGAAAAGAATAGAGTTAAAATGAAAAAATATAGCAACACCTATGCATCTGCTGGGCTTGAAAAAAGGGCACATGATCTCATAATAATCTGTGACTGTATTATCCAGGGGTAACTAAAGAATGGTCTGTGTATGTCATTGATTTGAAATGGCCCATCCCTCGTAACAGCTGTTATTTTAGAGTAATATTCTATGGATTTTTAGAAAAGAAGGACTTCTTACTTGGGAATTGAATTCTGTATTTCTGTATACTTTCTAAGTAATGAGCTCTACTTTATTAATGCATGCAGGTGAGTCCGGGGGAGGTGATGGTTGATTATTTAGCACAGACTAAATCTTTGTGTGCCAAATTTAGGAAAAAATACTAAGGTCACTTGGAGGAACCTTCAAAAGCCTTTTTAAGAAAAGTAGTCTGCAGATATTTTTCAGTAGAAGACATCAGTAGCAAAAGAAGAAAATTACTGAATGTTGTAAATATTTTTCATGTATTCTGTAAGCTGTGGACGTCAGATACTCAAGCCTGTTCCAACACCAGAACCAGAATCTGCAGAACACAGCGACAGAAAATCAGGTGGGATTTCAAAATAGACAAATATTTGATATCAACTTGCTCCTTTTTTTTTTCTAGGCCAGTTAACTTAAAATTTTTATATTTCTATGTAAAATTTTTCCTATATTTTAACTCATATGCATATATTTTACTTTATTTTGTGATTTAGAATGATCAAGATAACATAAAATATTGCCTGCTTCATAGTAAGGATTTTTAAAACAGGCTTCCACTCATACCTTTATAATTCTGTACTCCATATATCACACAAGTTCTCTGCCAACTCAGCTAAACTAATCACTGAACCAATTTTTGCAAATAAAAAGTTAGTTTTAGCTTTTCTCAATCTTCAGATAAGTTTTGTCTAATCCATTTTGCCCGTTACAACTTTTTTGTTGTATAATTCTTAAATAAAATGGCTTAGGAACAAGCTGTTACTTATATTTCTGTGAATAATCTGTATGATCAGTTGAAAAACTATTAGACAGTAGTAATTCACAAAACAATTATTGATATAGTATTTATGTGTTTTCTTTCAGGTGAAATTGGAAGTGCTAATGTTTCAAAAGAATCTTTCCACCATACAGACAAGAAAAAAGATGAAAGGAAGGAAATGATCGATCAAACACAAAATAATCTGCTTGTAAGCATGTAATTGCAAAAAAAGCTTGCAATAACTTTTATCAATACAGTATTCCTTTATAATTTCTAACTTGTTGTGAAGAGGTCTTTGCATTGCTAAAATTGTAATTTCTAAAGGGAAATGATGCATTGTTGGAATTCAAATTCTTATTTAACAATTATTTGTTTCTAGCTTGCATAAATTTTACTAGCAAATGACAAGAAAGCTGGTCATTGTATGAAGTTTTTACTGATCAAAATTGATTTGTGCATATTTAATGTTGAGAGTATTCTCAAACAGTGATCAACTAGTATTTTCTCTCAGAAGTTCCAGTAAGACTTACAAATGAACGTTGATACAATGCAGTTGATTGGAAAAACAGGGATACAAATGGTTTATTCTTTAGTAAAATTTTGGATTTATATATCAGGTCTCTTAAAACTTGTTCAAATAATGAACTGGTAAAACTCAGTAAATATCTGGTTAGCCTATGCATATTTTTGCTTTGTTTTATTAACTTATCTTGTTTAAAAAGAAGTAAGAAGGAAAATTTAACACAGTCTCAGAAAACGCTGGAATCTGCTGCCCCAATATGGGAAAAGTCAAGCCCTTAACTGTGCTATTTGTACTATTGATTTATGATTTTATCATGGCTGTAGTTACGGCACCATTCAATAAGTTCACTAAAGTTTTATCATTTTCCTGGCTTTTTTTTGCCAGCTCAACTGATAAATTAGTTTTCATTGTTATTTTAGGGACGATAAAGTATCTTAATCTCATACAGGTGGAGCAGAGTTATACATTAGAAACAATGTTATTAGACCATGATTCACTAATGGAGAAGATGAGCAACTGGAATTTCCAAATTTTTGACCTTGTAAAAGAAATGGGAGATCAGTCCGGAAGGATCCTTAGCCAGGTTTGTTGTCTTATTATATGAGGGAGAGTTTGTAAAGCTGTTGTGTTTATATATTTTATTTAAACCATGAAGATGTTTTGCAGTCAACATATATATGAATGCTATCTTGACAAGTAGAAGTATGATTTCTTGTGTGCTCCATCTTGTAAACCATAAAAAGTGTTTTGTCTATAGACAACTTGTTCCAAATTTTCTGAATTTTGTTCTCAATGTAAAAGTAGGTTAGACTCACAGTGACTAGGTTTTGTCATAATATGCCATTTCATGTGAAAAATTGTCTCCTGCTTTCAGAATTACTACCTTGTTTGTCAACCATTTCTTTTTTCTTTATTTCAGTAAAATATTTCTGCCAGTGCTACACCTGTGGGGGAAGAGAAGTGATCTTTTAGGCAGTCTTTTGCCTCTTGATCCTACAAACAATGGGATTTTTTTTCCATGCTACTTTCTGCATGTAGTATCCCTTTTATCTCTTTCTGACTTACTACTAAGCTCTTTCGTGCAGTTTCATGTTGTGCTGAAGCCAATCTACTGGCAAAGTATGATCCTGTTTGCTCTTTCCCAGCTTCTCTCATTTATCAGTGTCACCTGGAAGCTTCTCTCTCTTTCTTTATAGTGGATTAGCAACCATGGAGCTATAGTAGAGCTGGATTTACTTCTGATCTGCCTACAAAATATTTCCATTGACAGTATCTTAGTTTTCTACCCTGGAGTAGAATGCATGTAATTTTTGTTCAAGATCAGTGTTAGGAATAAGCAGCTGGAAGGAAACAAGTTAGAGACACTTTGGTACAGTTGGAACCACAAGCCTGCACCTGTGCTGAAGTCAGGAAAAAACAATGGGGATAATTTCATTTTTGTCATTAGACACTGTATTTTCTTTCATAGCGCACAATATTCTGGGTATTGTTTTGAATCTTCAGTTAGCCTTGTTTGATCAAATGTTTTCAGGTCCTTTGTCACCTGACTTAGTTCAAGTGTTAAGGTGCAGACTAGAATGCCACAATCCACTTTTGAGTGGTGGTTTTACAGCAGGATGCTAGTACTCTGTGATCCCCATTGGCTTGCATTCCATTTTTGTGCAGTCTAGGGGATAGTTGAAACCTCTAAGTACTTTAGTGTACAGGTTTTGACTCTACCAGGATCTGTGTATCACTTCTCCTTGATATTGTGTGTATGTGTATGATTTCTCCTCCTCCCTCTCCCATCCTAGTCCTTTTGCCTGTTGTGCTGCAAGCATCTGAGGCAAGTCTTACTTAACAGACAATTAAAAACTGAATTTTACCATCTACTTTAAGGTTCTGAGATTGGGTCTGTGAAAGGGGAATGGTTGGAACTGGTGGAAGGAGTGATGTCCCCTCATTTTGCTCTCCCGTTCCTTTGAGCACCTCCCACACTTCGGAACCTCTGTTTGTCTCGTGTGTCTGGGACAAAAGTTGTAAAAATGAGCAGCAGTCACTTGTTTTAAAATGTTTTCTTAATATTTGCAGCCTTGTGGGGAGATCAGGTGGTTCGCTAAGTTCTATATGTAAACCATAATATATGGTTTATATACATATATGGATGTTCTTAGTACGTTTTTGAAATATTTTTTCTTTTACCAACTACTTTTGTTAAAAACATCCAGAAGTGTCAAAACCAAACACAATGTTGAGATGTGGTTTTGTTGATTTGTTTGTTTGTTTGTTTTGGGTTTTTTAAGAGTGATGACTGCTGCCACAGTTAAGTAATTTGAATTTTTGAATAATAAGTCAGAAAATAGATTTCTTCGTTTTAGGTCAGTAACGGAAAAAAGCATGAGTTACTTACCTGACAAAAAAATTTGAGAAATATTAAAAATAATCAGTTGTGCATAAATTTATCAGTTAGGAAATAAAAGCTTTTATTATTATTCTGTATTGAGAGGATAATAAAAATCCACATTTTTGTGCTAAAAAAATAATTAAATATATCTTTATGACAGTAGCATTCCAATAATCTGTAGTGGAATTTCAGTCATTTCCATCTCTGTTGGCAAGAAAAATTTTAAAACATTAATATTTTTAAAGTTAAAAAAGCAGAATATGCATAGGTATGTTTTTCAGACTAAACTTAATTTTAATATGTATTTAGGTAACTTATACCTTGTTTCAAGACACTGGCTTGTTTGAAATTTTCAAAATTCCATCTCAAGAATTCATGAATTACTTCCGTGCACTAGAAAATGGCTACAGAGATATTCCCTGTAAGTACTATCCAACTACATTTGGGTTTTGTATATATCAGTGTATTTCCTTTACTGTGTGTATTTGTTTAATGTTTAATACAGAAGTAGTCAGTGTCTGAGCTTAGTACATTTTTAATGAATACACTTGACAGAATTTAGAACTGATTGAATGAACTGCAGGACAAAATGGGTGGACTCTAAAACTGAATTTGTTAATATGATGGTTGAAAATAATCTTAAAGAATCTGACTGAGTAGTTGAATCAAACACACTGAATTTACTGGGAGAATATTTGTTGATTTAACAGAAATTTGGGTTAATTCCTTAGTAAAATAATAAGAAAATAGAGAATTTTGATGGTAATTATCCATCTTGCTGTCTAGGGCAGCCAAATTTATTGGAAAACAAAGCAAAAAACACACTTGCCCTGCACACCCTCCCACTCCCTCATGTCGTGGATGTTTGTCCAGCTCAGGTGCTTGTAGGTATCAGCTTGTCAGCCACTCCAGTGACTTACCACATTGATTTAAAAGGTCACTTAATCCCTTCCTGACTCCTAGGTAGGATAAGGTGTGCATAGACAATGTTTGATGTTTATCTAACTCGCTTCCTAAAATTGTTTGGTGATACATAGAGCCTCTACTAACGATTTCAATTCAAATTTTCCTTTATATTTAATTTATATTAAAATCTCACATGCATTTGGTACATTAGATTTTTTTTCTTCCTTTTGATTATATTTCACATAATGTTTTTATTATATCTTGATAATTTTCAGATCACAACCGTATACATGCCACGGATGTTCTCCATGCAGTGTGGTATCTGACAACACGGCCCATTCCTGGATTTCAGCAAATTCACAATGAGCATATAATGGAAAATGAAATGGGTATGTATTCACCTAGGTTATTTTTCTGTTTTGCTGGAGAATGTTTCAGTGAAACTATAATAGGTAAACCAAATTACTCTGGAAGAAAATAATTATTCTTATCACTAATTTTTTTTTTTGTATTTTAATATAAGGCTGTAGAAAAATCACAAAGTTAGCACACACCGTTCAGAAATATCATGCAGTTGACTTTCAGAAAAATTATTAGATGAATAATGGTTAGTTTGTTAGCCAAGAGTACTGGTTCACTTAATAAATTTTCTGTGTTGAATGAAACCTCTGTACTCTGCCACAGTTAGGGTATTTTTAGCATTTGAAATATATCAGACTAATATTTCTTAACTTTATTGGAAAGTTAAATAGACCAAAGAAAAGATACCAAAGTATTTAACTTAATTGAAGTTCTCCTTAATGGCTTTATTGTAAAAATGACTATTTTTGAATTCTGTATTAGGTATCACATGCAGACTTTCAGGCATTACATGGCTATCCTAACAATAACTGCATAAAAGCATCCTTGAAAGAGAAATAAAGACTCCAAATTCAGATCTTGTGTGAAGTTACTTCCAATGAACCTTGCTTTTGTGTTGTCTCTGACTTCATGGAACTAACTTTTAAATATAAATTTGTAGCTTTTACTGAAATGTATCCTGTAAGTAAACTATTTTAAACATAGACTTTAATAGTAAATGGTTTCTATTTCAGAAAAATGAAATGAGGAAATCAGGCACACTCTGTTTTATATGTGCAGTAAAAAGAGACAAGATGCAAGTCACGGCTTTTAAAGGGCTGGAATTTTAAGAAGTAAATTGTGAACTGTACAGAATATGTTATTTCTCCCTTACTAATTAGCCCTTCTGCAGTCACCTTTCTTTTTTCCCAGGTTGTCCATATCCACTGATTGCACCCTATTGCCTTTTCTAAGTGTTAAATGTGTTGGGACTGGACATTTGACTGGAAGAAAGTAAAGTGGCAAAAATCCTTTTGCTCTCTTTTACAAAAAAAGTAAAATTAGAATAAGAAATTATAGTCTTATTGCTTTGAAACTCTTCCAGTCTAATTGTTACTAGGATTTTTAATCCTTGCTTATTCTATTAATGCAAAAGTGTTCCCTTTTTATTTTGTGCTGATGAAATAAGAGCTACTGGATTTTTTCTTTTTTTCTTTCTTTTTTTTTTTAAAGTAGTGACTTTGTAAATGAGAAACTTTGAATCTCTTATTGTGCAAATATTTTTAGCTTAATGCCCTTAGTTCCTTTTGCAGTAGTTTTTGCTGTCCCCCAAGCTTTTCCTGTAGGCCTGCAAGTTCAAGATATGGGCAAATTATAGAAATACTAAGGGAGATGCTGTTTGATGTTTCCTTGGTTGGAGGCAAACTGTAGAATGCTCTGTTAGTGCTGTCATTTTAAGGAGGCAATGAAATTCCAGGTGTGCCTGACAGCTGGAGCTCTTTAGCAGCAAAACAATAAGGGGAAGGTATGACCCTGACAGTAATGTGTAACCATAGGTACCCATGTGGATTTTCCAGTATCTGTAGTTTGGACTTTGCGATGTACACTTCTGCTAGTTTTTACACCTTCTCTTCTTTCCCTTCCATGGAACAAGTACCTACAAGTGCATTTGAATAATGAAAGTCTTGGATTGTTATTGTTGTTTTCTAATCTAAATGACAACTGTACTGCAGTCAAGAGACATGGCCTAGAGGACCAGTGTCCCTTGTTCCACTAGATTGCCTTTTGTGCTTGCTGGAACATTTCTCTGAAACAGCTTTTTCTGCAGCACAAGTGTAGCTGAAAAAGAAGTGGCTTCCTCTCATGACTTCTATGGCACTGCACAGTTTTGAGGACCAAGGCAAATCTCTTGCAACTTTTCTTCAAAAGTGTTGGTTTATCTATAAACAATAGTAAAACTTTTTCTTTTTTAAAGTATGAGTCTTTCTCTGCCAATTATTCAGCTCCTTAATTACAAGGATAACCATACTATGTTCGCAAAAGTGTCTGGTTGAGTAATTTAAAATGTATTACAAATGAAATACTGTTCTAAAAAATATTTTATTTTTGTACTTTCAATTTTTTTTAGAGGAAACCAGTGGTATTGCCCCTGCTCAAGTCAGCTATATTTCTTCAAAAAGTTGTCCTATTGCTGATGACAGTTATGGTTGTTTGGCATCAAACATTCCTGCTTTGGAATTGATGGCTTTATATGTAGCAGCTGCCATGCACGATTATGATCATCCTGGTCGTACAAATGCTTTTCTAGTGGCCACAAATGCACCTCAGGTAAGACATTCTTTAACCAGAAAATTATTTGACTGTGTCTGAAATGAGAATAAAGAAAATTTTTCTCTTCTATATGCCTACTGTAGCCTGTTTAGGATCATTTGCCCAGTTCAAGAAATTGAGAAATTAATTTGAACTGTACTTGTGTAATGTTTTTATTTTTCTTCCCTGATAAATTCTGATGTGTTTTGTACCTATTGGTTGTGTATGCATGTAAAAACAATTTCCAATTTACTAAATTGAAAATAATGACATAAATCAATGCAGGTTTGAGTAGGGGATTATTTCATAGAGAGCTGGCCCTAGCACTGTCTCAGCAGCTAATTCATGGATATTGTACATTTTGGGAGTCCTCTGAAATCTAATGTTACCTGCAATTACTGTGAAAACTTAGGTTCCTCTAATAATCCAATTAACTGCAGCACCTAATAAGAGAATTGGGATTTTTCAGCCTAGAGAAGAGAAGGCTCTGGGGTGACCTAATTGTGGCCTTCCAGTACCTGAAGGGGCCTACAAGAAAGATGGAGAAGGATTATTTAAAAGAGCATGTAGTGGCAGGACAAGGGGGAATGGCTTCAAACTGACATTGGGTTTAGACTTGATACTGGGAGGAAGTTCTTCACTGTGAGAGTGGTGAGGCATTGGAACAGGTTGTGCCATCCCTGGCAGTGTTCAAGGCCAGGTTGGATGGGACTCTGAGCAACCTGAGGAAGGAGATGCTATGCACTTCAGGGTCTAAAAGGCAAAGACAAGAAGAGCTAAAGGAGAATAAAGCTGAATGAAACAGCAAATAGAAAATCGGGGTAGGGCAGGGAAGAATTGGAACGAAGAGCACTGAGAAAAAGATGCCTAAGCTGCATGGTGACATATTTTTATCTTAAGGGTGGAATATTTAAGGGTCTAACCACAACATCAACAACACTAAATCAGAAACTGATATGACTTGTCAGCAGATAGAGACTTTAAAATGTAATTTTCAGTAAGTTTTTAGTAATTTCTTATGCAAAAAGAGTTTAGGATATTGGTAGTTAAGTATTTCTGCAGAAAACAGTATACAACGAAGAACAAAAATAAACAACACAGACATTCATCTTCAGTTTTCAAAGATATAAACATTCATTTTGTTCATGCTTTCTGAAGTTTTTCAAAGACTTTTTTAGGTTCTATCTAATTTATATTCAACTAATTAATTTCTAGGCTGTTTCATATAAACATGGAAGTTGTGAGTAAAATCTATTACTGTTTTAATATTTTAGTTAACTCATTTACAGTTAAAATGTATGCATCAGTATTAAACATAGCACTTTGAAAACTAGTGATAACCATTTCCGATTAACAACAGTTCTTATATGCTTTGGAGTTCTTTTTTTTTGTTTGGTTGTTTGTTAGCTTTTGTGGTTTGGGGTTTTTTTTGGGTTTTTTTTGAAAGAAGACTGGAATTAAGAGCAATTAAAGGGATATGCTTAGATCTTTCTTTGGTCCCCATACGCACATTCCAAAGTCTACATTTTAAGTGGTTTGTATATGCGTGCCTACAGTCTGAATGTAGCTGGCACCAAGATATTGTTGAGGGCTTGTAAAGAAGGAAAAAACTTTGGTAACTGTTTGGTTTGATTTTTTTCCCTCATCTGCCAGTTTTGTGTTACTTTAACCCTAAAATTAGAAGGTAAAACGTAATTTCCAATTTTTTTTTGTTTTGTTTTACCTAAGACATGTTTCTAACTAGCCCTTAAACTTCAAAATATTTAATTATAACTTTAAAACTTGACTTTGTCATTTACGATCCTCTGGTTTTTTTGTTTGTTTGTTTGTTTTTCTGTAGGCTGTTCTCTACAATGACAGATCAGTCTTAGAAAATCACCACGCTGCTTCTGCCTGGAATCTTTTCTTATCACGACCAGAATACAACTTTTTATCAAATCTTGATCATGTAGAATTCAAGCGTTTTCGATTCTTAGTGATTGAAGCAATCCTTGCCACAGATCTAAAGAAGCATTTTGATTTCCTTGCAGAATTTAATGCCAAGGTTTGTTACATTTTAGCATCTGCACTGATCTGGTCCTGATATACTCATGTTATCATTGCTTCTTGGTAGTTGTTAGCTTTAATAACTTGCATTTAAGTTATATAATATTTGAATTTAAGTTATTAAAATGCAAATAGAGTATTTCCTTTGTACAAGTCAATTGTAGATTGTTTGTAGATTGCCTAATAAACCTAGCAGGTGTGACATAGGGGCTTGCAGGAGACCTCAATCATGTCTCACACTTCCATCTTCTGAGAGATAATAAAGAACCTTTTTTTTCTTTTCCTATATAAGACAAAAAGTGATACAGAAAAACTATTGAAAGTCTCTGTTGTACAAAACCTGAAAGAAACCAAAACCAAACCCACTGATGAATAGTTTTAATTTAATTTTTAAAAATGTATGTGCTTAATCCAGGTCAATGATCTCAACAGTAATGGTATAGAATGGAGCAATGAAAACGATCGACTACTGGCCTGTCAAATATGCATCAAACTGGCAGATATTAATGGCCCAGCCAAAATTAGAGAGCTGCATCTGAAGTGGACAGAAGGCATCGTTAATGAATTTTATGAACAGGTGGGTGTGGAAAGGGTAATCCACTCTAATGATTCTTTGCTTTACCAATGGTTTAACTAAATTAAGCATAATTTCTTGTGTTAAATCTTCAGGTAAGATATTTCCATCTTCTCATTCGGAATAGTAAAAATTTTATTTTTCATAGGTAGCTTACGTACATAATCTTTCAGTTTCTATTAACTGTGTTACAAAGCAAGTTCCTGGCCAATGTCGTCCCTTTTTCAGATATTAGGGGTTGCTTTGGAGGGGAGGGGTTCTTTCCATAGCATAATGCTGATAGACCAAAATTAATTCTTCCTCTGTGGGAAGTAAAATTCACAGATACGTTTCCAGGTCAGAGAATATGTACAAAATGCACAAGACTGGAAATGTATATTCAACTAACTCTTAATGCAAAGACAGAGGATATTTCAAAACTTTGAAAATGAAATATTAAGAATATACATGAGTAACTAGCAGTATTAAAATGTGTATAACAATTTTAAAAAGGAACTTTGATAAGTAATCCTATCAAGATTAAGTGGAAAAAGTCTGAAAATTTGCTGCCTATTTTTATATTAACAACTTCTATAAGTCCCTCAAAATATATTCTACATTCTCTGTTATTTTTCTCTAGTCACCTTCCTGAGGAGCTAACTATTTATGAGGCAACAATCAGGGACTGAAAAATATTTTTTCAAACTAGGAAGATAAAAGTAAACAAAAAAGTCCTTTGGAAATTTAGGTAATAGCAATAATAATCTGAAGTGTTTACACTTACTGTAAGAGTTTAGTATTCTAAGTTGCTCGTTTATGAAACAAACTTTTTCTTATAAAACTATCAGGTCCATGGAAGTGCTGAAATAGATGATTATAACTCAGATTTTTCTATGAACAACTGTTCAATTTTTTTTCTTCTCCAGTTTATAAAACGGGAAGAAAGCTGCCCTGTAAATGCAGAGGAATAACAGGCACAAGGATATCTCACAGCAAAGAAATATTACGGACTATGCAAATCTCAGCCATAATATGTCTTTATTTTAAATTGACCTAATTACATTTTTATTCACTTAGTCTGTACTGTTATTTCCTCCAGTAAAAAGATACAATCCATGTTCAGGGGTTCAGGGAATTGTAGAATATCCTGAGTTGGAAGGGACCACAAGGATCACCAAGTCCAATTCCTGGCCCTGCACAGGATCATCCCCAAGAATCACATCATGTGCCTGAGAGTATCATCCAAATGCTTTTTGAATTCTGTCAGGCTTGGTGCTGTGACCACTTCTCTGGGGAGCCTGTTTCAGTGTCCAAACAGCCCCCGGGTGAAGAAACTTTTTCTAATATCCAACCTAAACCTCCCCTGACTCCACGCTGTTTCCTCAGATCCCATCACTGGCCACCAGAGAGAAGAGATCAGTGCCTGCCCTCCTCTTCCCCTTATAAGGAAGCTGTAGACTGTAGTTCCTTGGTTCCTTAAAAGTAATTTTTAAAACAAAAATTTAAAGTTAATTTTGTGAGAAATTCTGATAATTTTTTTCACTTCTTTTTCAGGGTGATGAGGAAGCAAGTCTTGGATTACCTATAAGCCCCTTCATGGATCGTTCTTCTCCACAGCTTGCTAAACTGCAAGAATCTTTCATCACTCACATAGTTGGTCCCCTTTGTAACTCCTACAATGCAGCAGGGTTGCTTCCAGGGCAGTGGGTTGATGAAGAGGAGGAGGATGCAGAAAGTACTGAAGATGATGATGGTGCACAGTTAGAGAGCGATGATGAAGAAATGGAAGATGATCTTATTTTAAGTAAGTTTCTGTATTTCAATTCGTGCATAGTTGTCATTTAATAGATTCAGATCAGCAATGACAGTTGAAACTGAGTAGTGCAAATTTTGTAGGTTTTTTCTATTATGCTGCTTCATAAATTTTACTCTTTCAATAAAATTTTTGTTACTACCAGAAGACTTGCAACTTGAAACAGAAACTCATTGATGTCCTTTGCCATGCCACTATTTAAATACTCATAATAAGCATTCATATGTCTTGTTCAAACTTACATCTCTTCTGCAATGTGCCTTTGGTTTTCTATGTGTAAAATACAATTGCTTTGAATGTCAAACAATCAAATATGCTTATAATTTTGCAGAAGTTCAAAGAAAAAAAGGTAGACGAATATTTTGCCAGCTAATACACCATCTCAGTGAAAATCACAAAATATGGAAGAAAGTCATTGAAGAGGAAGAAAAAACCAAAACCGAAGGAGCTAAACTGCTGACTGAAATCTCATCTTTACCTCAAGCAGACGAAATTCAGGTTATTGAGGAAGCTGATGAAGATGATGAACGACAACTAGGAGAAGACAAGACGTGCTAAGAAAACTCCAGTGGTGTCCAGTATGATGACAGCCTACATTTTTTTCCACTGTGCTGACTTTAGCCTGACACAGTTTGCATAAAATTGAAAGGCCTTAATACTGTGAGAGGATTCTTTTTACTCTAGTGGAATCCCACTCCTATGCACTTTCGCCACACAGAATATGAAACTTTATTCAGAGATTGAATATTGTATACCCTGATGCAAAGTTCTTTATGCCTTAGTTGGTATAAAATATCCTGATATAATGCTGCCTTGCTGAATATGGAACTCTTCTTTTCCCTGAGGTACCTGCAGTTTTTAAAAACATTCAGTGACTTCAATTACCAAAGTGGCAAGAACTTTTCGCTAACCAGGAAACGCAGGATGAATCGTAATATTGTCTTGAGTTGCTTATTTCATGTTGTTTTTGAACATGAATGAGAAAAGGTCTGTGCCTATATGAAAACTATGTTACTGTTGCAGTGCAAGCCTGTTGTGGGGTGTCTACTTAGTGCAGTAGTGTGCTTAATGTAGTCATCTCAGAGCAACTGTTCAAGGACTGTGACATAAATGCTGAATTCTGATATTTGTGGTTTAAAATAAGAAAAGAAGATCCAGGTGCATCTATTTCTGATGCTTTTTATTATTGTGCATAATCTGATGTTTTATTTTTGCAGAAAATATTCAGGTTTGCAGTGGATGTTCATGATAATTCATTGAATACAAGGCCATTATCATCTGTTGCCTTGCTGTTTTGTGGTAGAACATTAAAAACCTGTTCCGCTACTTAAATTATGAAGGAATTTTATTCTTTTAGTCAGAAGTCATGTTATTTTTCCTGCCCTTACTCAGGTTCACGTTTAAAAACAAGTCAACTACATCATAGATTTTTATCTTGCACCGATTTCCAATATTAAATTTTAAGGAAATAAGATCGTATCTCATTTATTCTTTGTATGTAAAGCTTTAGGAGAATTAAAGAGGGTTTTTAAAAAAAAAAAAAAGACATTAACTACTGTTTCAAAATGGCTATTTTAATTTGCCCCACATCTTTTCTTCCATCACAGACACAGCTTATATCCCCTTCAAATTTGATGTACATCCTGAAATACACATATGGAAACCAGAATGTGAAAATTTTGTGTAAAGTTTTGAAAACAACTCGGTACTGTTTTACATTTTAGATTGTTGAGTTTTAAAATAGGAAACTTAGACATTCCACACAAATGTATTATTAGGAACACTACCATTGTAGGTCTAATTTGAAAACAAACAAACAAAAGAAGGCATAAATTTAGGCTATAAGTAAGTAAGCAAGCCACAAATAAACCTAGTTTTAAAAGTGCACCTTTTAGTACTAAACATTTATATGCTGTGTAGTTGAATTCAATAAAAATCAAATGCACGTGTGTGCCATTGCTAAATGTATCTTAGCAATTTGTGTTTACATTTACATCAGTTGACTTGAAAAAAAAAGGTAACATTTCTAAGATAACCTTGAGTACATTGTATTACACTATTTTACACAAATTTTTATTCTGCTCTTTGATTGGCCAGTTTAAATCAATGAAAGGTTTTTTTTTCATTTTTCACTAATAAGCTTTTTGTTGATCCACTTAAAAGACCACTGAAACATGCTTTGCTATTTTATATCTTCAGTGCAAAATCCCCCTTTACTGCCATTATTACTATCACTGCATTTTTTTTTTTTTGTAACATGAGCAGTGTTAAAAACAGATATTTCTGTCATTAATAAAATATTGCACTATTGAAGCTGGCACTTATTGATCATACAGTTGTATGTCTCTTGGTCATATATTTTCCTAACAGATAATGTGAAGACTACAGAAACTCTACTTCTTTCAGTATGCTGTATTCTCAGCATTTTGCTTTTAGCCTGTGTGCTTGTAGATATAAAATATCATTTTAATACCATCTAGTGGTAAAAATATCTAGTGGTATTAAAATATCATTTTAATACCATTTAGTATCATCTTGTTTTACCTAAAAACATGATACAAATTAGTTTGTCTAAAGTCACTATTCTATTATTTGACATGATAGGTTTCCAGTTTTAGTTTCCCTTTAAAAATTATTATTAAAAAAATAACAAAATAATAAGAAGGTAAACATAACACTTTATTTTTTACTAAAGCACTGGTAGCATTTGTATCTTGTGAAACCTTTCCCAGCAACTTTATCTCAGATTTCCCCTAAATTCTGTAGAAATACTGAAGCAATTTTAAAATTCAGTAAGAAGTAGCAAACCTCAGTGCTTTTCCAATTAGATATTTTCAAGTTACATAAGCTTGATTCAAAGATATTTTTAATTATGAATGTATCCAAAATTCACCTTAAAATGTCTGTTATTTATGTGTGCATAGTGTGGGACTAATTATTACTCTAAGAGGAAGGGGAAAAGAATGTACAAATGTCAGCAAAGGTTGGTTCAGGGCATGTTTGCAGAAGTGGACGTAACTTTAACTAAAGGTGTCTTAATCTTTCGAAAATGGTAATCGAAGGGTGTTTGAATGTTGACTGAGCTGTCGTCGAAAAGAACATCTCCATGTAAGTTCCTACTCTTATTCTGGTAGGAACCCACTGAGAAATTGCAACCAAATGAAATCTGTGATCACACTTCAATTCACGGTAACGAAGAACACACTGAAGAACACACTTTAAACACTTACTAATGAAACATTGCTTTTTCTTTGTTCAAGAAGTGGACCAAATTAGCCTACACTGAAGTTATGTTGATGCAGCAGATACACGTTTTATGCATAATATTTTCAGGTTTAAGTTGAGTCTCCCATCTCCCCATTGCTTTCTTTTACAATGTATGTCAGATTACTTGCTCCCATGCATACAGTGCATACAGAACTAGACTACAAAGTTTTCGATAAGGACAAAATTCTCCTTGTGTTTCTGGAGACCTCTGGATATTATGGAGGTACTAAACCATCAAAATGAATTACCTGGATCCTCTTCCCATGAGTTCTTCCTCCATGACAAAGTTAAACGGTGAGTCTAAGGTTCAAAATGAAAGGAATTGTGTAACATTACTTAAGGTAAGTTCAAACTAACCAAGTTTGTGTAACACCTGCTTTGCTTTGCGCATAGAACTGTTTCTTTGTACTTCTTGCATTCAGTTTTAACCACAACCGTGGCAGGTGAATCAGCAAAAGGAGTCAGCAGAATTCAAGAACTTGCTTTTAGCTTTCGTGCTTCCTCCTAGGCAGGTGTAGTCGAGGCTGGGCTTCTGGATCCTCTGAAAGCAGGCACAGAATTTGAGGTAATCCAGTGCGTGTTATTGCTCAGAGAGGTTGGAGTCTCCCTCACTGGAGAATTGAATCCTCATCTGGATTCAGTCCTGTGCCATGTGCTCTAGGATGACCCTGCTTGAGCAAGGAGGTTGGACCAGATGACTCACTGTGGTCCCTTCCAACCTGACCCAGTCTGTGATTCTGTGTGGGGCTAACATTCACATGGCAGAACTTTCCCATTTGTCCAAAATACTTTTGAGAAGTGTTTCATACGCTGCTGAGTGTGAGATTAGGAATCTCAGTCTCAGAGGCATGTTTTGGAGCAAAAGGATGGAATTTGCTTAGAGCATGAGAAGAAGAGGATGTAAGGATGATATAGACACACAAATATACAAAAGAAATTGTGATGAGAGATGCTATTTATTGTCTCAAGCCAGTTCATATTCAAAATAGTATGGAAACAGGATATCCTTGGCAAGTTAGAATACTTGGATTGTTAAAAATTAAATGAAAATAGTAATGAGAACAATGATAGAATTATCAGAACTTAAGTAGTGGTGCAAGTTTTAGAAAATTGATTTTTCTGTGGCCAATAAAGACTAGATGAGAGAAAATAAATGTAGGAAGTTGATTAAATGAGGTACAAAAAGTATGATCAAGACAGTATTTATTTTGCTTTTTTTCCTCCAGTTTTCTTCAGAATTGTGTTCTGCACAACATGCTGCTTCGTTCATGTCAATGTTAAGGTAAATGAGGTAATGAGTTGCTTTCATTTTTGCAATGAAGAACTTTCCTTTTAATATCTTCTGAAGTAAGCTTTTAACTTGCTATAAAAAATATACTGTAGATTCTCAGAGATAAAACTGTCAAAAGAACACAACTGTTAACTGCTCCCTATCTGGTCTTAATTTAATAAGGCCATAAGCAGTGAGTGTATTTGCCCTCTGCTAAATGCAAATGAATAACATCTTTCAGAGGAAAGAAAGCTGATGGACTAAGCTGCTATAGGATAAACATTCCATTGCACTTGAGTTTCTAGTTGGCAGTGACTCTCCTGGCATAGTGTACATCCCCTGTATCCTTATGAATCCAACTAATAGATACAGAACTCTTAAATTAAGAATCTCAATGATTTTGTTGTCCATTTGTTACTGTCATTTCTCAAAGACATTTCTGGCTTAGACTTGGTTAGTCTCATTTCCGATATCTTCAATATTCTAAAACCCTACAAAAAAAACAGAGTAACCAGCAGTTGCTCATTTTGTTAATAGCATTAAGCTGTAGAAGGTGGTTCCAGTAAAGAAGAAACTGTTTTCCTTTGATTCTGAAACATCTGTCCAGAAATAATCTGAATTTAAATGCTACTGTGATACACTCAGAACAATGAATGCTTGAAGTATGCGAGCGATTAATGCTTACTTGGTTCTGTGTGACACTACAGACACCCTTTAAAAAGGACACAACATGAATAGAAATGTTGGACCGGAAGGGGTTTTTTTTTTGAATCTGCAGGCCGTGAGTCATCTTTTGATTTCTGTGCTTCAAGGGATCACAGGTGATAGCAACTGGTGTCTGTGGTAGGTTCTGCTGCACAGGCTGTGCTACCTGGCAGAATGTTACTGTCTGTGAAACGCAAGTAAAGAGAGTAAAAATCTTCTAGTGAGGAGAAACCTTCTGCCTTCTGGTGTACCTGTGAGGCTTCAGAAGAAAAAAAAAGATAACATTAAACCGACTAAGCCTTTAATGGCAAGAGACCATAGTGTTTCAAATTATTCCTACCATTCACCTTGTGATTTGTCCATGTTCTAAACATCTTGCCAAAAAACAGGTGATGAGTCACTTCTGACTCATCTCTCCAGATCAGCAGAACCCTTTGCACTTTGAATGAGATCAAAATATTTTCATTTAAATTGCATATAAAACAAAAACTAAGACTCAGCTTAAAATGCAAGTATTACACCAAAAATCCGGAGGATAACATTGACATTACCTACTGCACGTGGGGAACAGACCGTAGACTTTGTCCCCTGTGCCAGTTAGATGTGAAAACTTGCTCCTATATGTAGTCATTCAAATGGACTTGGTTTGCCTCTTTTTGTTTTGTCATGACATTCATCCTACTAGAATTTATTAATCTCTCTGGTATTGCCAATTTATCTGACTCATATTAACTAAGCTTTCTCTCAGGCAAAGAAGAGAATGAAGAAGCCCTCCTATTTATCTTTGAGAATGGATTTTGTAATCATTTTGTTCTATTCATCATAAATAAGTCATGACCAAAATACTGTTTTAGATGTCACACCCCAGGAAAAATATCTGTCCATTAGACAGATTGCAGAATTCCAGTACAGACCGGTGAGACTGATGACATGGTCTAAAGAGGAGGAGAAATATAAAATTAATTAAAGAGAATTTTTCCCTGTCTAGAGAAAATGGGACTCAAGTGAGATACTCTAAGGTTACTTAATAAGACTGCTTCAAAGAGTAATCAGAATAATGCTTTTGGTGTTAATAGTATTTAGGAAAAGA